TCCTTTCTTTCTCTCTCTTGGATTCTTTGCTCTGGGGAAGGTAACTGTTAGGTTGTGCGGACACTCAAGCTGCCCTACAGAAGAGACCACGTGGCAAGTCACTTAGCCCTCCATCTGACAGCAGGCAGTATCAGCATGAGGGCGAGACACTTTAAAAGAGAACTTTCAGCCCCAGTGAAGACATCACCCGATAGCAGCCTTCAGGAGAAACTCTGAGCCAAAACCACCCAGCTCACCACTCAGCAGAAACTGCGAGATAAGAATGTTTATTCCTTTAAGCCACTCAGTGTGTGGACTGCTGGAGGACACTGAGTAGGTTATCATGGTCAGAGGTGAACTGAGAGAACCAACTGCAGAGAGGAAAGGAGAAAGAGCAGGAATTACAACAGGTGCCAGGCTGTACGGGGCTAGAGGGAGCTAACAGGGATCCCATCGGGGCAGGACTGGGTCTGGAGGCAAAGACAGGGCCAGCAGCAGCTAGGTGGCCTTTCATAGCTTGGCCTCTTCCTTGAATTTTATTCCATCCAGGATAGCATGGAATGGCAGCTGTGCCTCAACTGCAACGCACTGGGAAGAATGCTAATAGCACCACCAAGCCCTGAGCACCTACTATGTATCATGTGCTTTAAATACAAAAACTTAAACAAATGTGGCATGTGTATAACACGGAATATTATTCAGTCATCAAAAAGGATGGAGTACTGATTCATGAACCTCGAAAACATGGCAATTGAAAGAAGCAAACTTAGAGATGTGTTATATGATTCCATTATAGGAAATGTCCAGAATAAGCAAATCCATAGACATAAAATAGTTGCCAGAGCAAGAGGGAAATATAGAGGGAGCACTATTGTGTACAGGCTTTGTGAGCAGGGATAATGAGAGTGTTCTAAAATTAGATTGTGGTGTTAGTTGTACAACCTTGGGAATATACTAAAACCACTAAACTGTACACTTTAAAATGCTAAATTTTATGGCATGCAAATTATGTTTCAAAAAAAATAATATGAGGACAGAAACATATGATAACACAATGTGCCCGATGCTATTCTAAAAGCTTTGTGTATATTATATACTTAACTTACATAAAAAACAGACATACCAGGTAAGCACTATTTTTTTATAATTTTATTTGTACAGATGAAAAAACTGAGGCCCAGAGTGGTTAAAATGACTTGCTTAGGTAACACATGAAGCATGTGATAGAGCCAAGAAATGAGCCTTGCCAGACTATCTCCAGAGGATGCTCACATAACGTGTTCACATATCTGTTGTAGTGCTTCTCACTTATAAATGATCTCAGATGCACCTATCTTTTTTTAGAATATTATTTTAGTTGTAGATGGACACAATACTTTTATTTATTTTTATGTGATGCTGAGGATCAAACTCAGCGCCTCACACATGCTAGGCAGGAACTCTACCACTGAGCCACAACCCCAGTCCCTTAGATGCATCCTTTTGTTTTGTTTTTTATTTCTCTTTTATTTTTCCACATTTTATTTATTAACTGATATATAATTAAAAATCATACATATTGATGGGATCCCAGGTGATGTTTCAATACATGTACACATTGTGTAATGGTTAAATCAGATTAAACATATATATATATATCCTCAATATTTATCATTTCTTTTTTTTGTGTGTGTGTGTGTGGTGCTAGGGATTGAACCCAGGGCCTTGTACATGTAAGGCAAGCATTCTACCAACTGAGCTATATTCCCAGCTCCATTTATCATTTCTTTATGGTAAAAACTTTCAAGGTACTTCTAGCTTTTTTAAAAATCATTTTTATTTTTTAAATACATGACAGCAGAATGCATCACTATTCTTATTACACATATAGAGCACAATTTTTCATAACTCTGTATATAATGTATGTTCACCAATTCGTGTTTCACACATGTACTTTGGATGATGATGTCCATCACATTCCACCATCATTGCTAACCCCCTGACCCTCCCTTCCCCTCCCACCCCTCTGCCCTATCTAGAGTTCCTCTATCCCTCCCATGCTCCCTCTCTCTACCCCACCATGAGTCAGTCACCTTATATCCAAGAAAACATTCGCCAGTTGTTTTTTTGGAGATTGATTATCCTAATTCAATCAGTGAGGAAACAAGATTCAAACTCCAAAGTACACAAGCTTACTTGGCCCTCAGTCCACACTGCAGCCTGGGGGCTGCCATAACCAGGCCCTCCCAGGGTTCCTCACCTCAGCAGGTGGCTACCAGGGCGTTCCTTGCAGGGCTCAGTGGCCTGGAATGCCTGAAGTTTTTCCTGTTTACATCACATGTTTATATGGCTTTCAGACTTCTCCATTATCTTTCTACCAAGTAAACAATTACATTAGCAATCAGAACTTAAAAGTTTTTTCTCACAGTATCCTCACATAGAGGAGGCCATTCAGTTTTGTTGTTGTTGTTGCTTTGTTACTGGGGATTAAAAACAGGGGTGCTTTACCCCAGAGCTACATCCCCAGTGCTTTTTATTTTTTGAGACAGGGTTTCATTAAATTGCCTAGAACCTTGCTAAATTGTTGAGACTAGTCTCAAACTTACAATCCTCCTGCTTCAGCCTCCTGAATTGCTGGGATTACAGGCATGTACCACCATGCCAAGCTTGTTAAATCACTTTCTGAAAAGCACTGATAAGTTAATAAATGTTGTTTTTTTTGTGTCGTTTACATTTTCTTCATTTTAATTCTTAGTATCTTCCAAAATTCTCATAGTGAATATGTAGTACTTCTGAATAGCATCATCATCATCATTTAAAATAATTGAAAAATGTATTTCTGGGCTGGGGATGTGGCTCAAGCGGTAGCGCGCTCGCCTGACATGTGTGCGGCCCGGGTTCGATCCTCAGCACCACATACAAACAAAGATGTTGTGTTCGCCGAAAATTAAAAAATAAATATTAAAAATTCTCTCTCTCTCTAAAAAAAAATAGTTAAAAAGAAAAATGTATTTCCTCAAGTAGTTTATTTTTGAATGTTGAATCCAGGAACCATTCTTGTACTTGTTTCGAATGAATCATCCATCAGTCATCCTCTCCCCATATAGCTTGCTGAGAGGGAGTTGTCCCAGGTGAACTGGGCTGCACGAAATAATCACATAGAGACAGACACACCTTTTTATTTGGGTCCTGTGATGGCTCCTCTGACCTTAAGGGTCCGAAGAAAGAGAAAGAGAGAGCACAGCATGTGCTGAACCCTTTTGTTGAGGAGAAGCCATTCAAATGAGGCAAGGGGTCAGGTTTGGGGGGTACTGAGTCTAGCTTCATGATGTCTGCTGTCAGCAGGTTGATTGACATCTAGGAAAGCCACTCTCAAAGGCAGAGCAAGAGAAGGGGACACACTAAGGGTCTTTCCATTGAACCTTCTACCCCAAACAGGGCAAAGGGGTAGGGTTACAAAGGAATGGGTGAGTGTAGCTCAACTCCTTTGGTGACACATCTGAATACACGCCCTCAACTTCCTGAACCTGGACATCGCCCAAGTCACTAGTAGTGATCGGTCAGAGCCTCCCAGGGTGGAAGGCGCAGGTCATTCAGAGTGGCTCCCCACAGGGAGTGGCATAAAATTTGGTTTCTAAGACTTTTTTTTTTTTAATGGCACTAGTGAACATTTATAAACCTAGTGAACAAAAGAAGGAAAAAAAAGTAACAGTACTCAGAACCAACGAATAGAGTTACTAAGATCTGTAGGAGAGAGGTGGAGAGTTCTTTTCATGACTTTTATTTTTTCTTAAAAAAAAAAAAGATCAACCTACTGAGAAATGCCAAAACTTTTTTTTTTTTTTTTCTGTGCCTTGTATATGTGGGGCATGTGTTCTGCTACTGGGCCACCTCCTTAGCTCTGGCCCAAACTTCTTAATGTCTCAGTATTTCCTCAGCAATTCATGGACCTGGTGAAGGACAGGGGCATGATTTCCAATGGTTTCTGATTAGTTAATATCACTGTGCATTACTCCAGGGTGAAAATGGAGATTCAGTGACTCAAGAACATCACTGAGCTCAGAGCTGGATTGCCTTTAAAACAAACAAATCCAGATTGAGTGAGATACAATTTTACATATCATAAAACTTGCTTGTTTCAATTGTACAAGTCAATGATCTTTACTAAATTGACATAGTTTCATACAACCATCACAATCTGGATTATTATTTTTAATAATTTCTCAGAAACTAGTGTTCTCTTGCTACTACAATATATTGCAAGTTCCAATCAGCTTTTGTAGGACTATGTATGTTATTAAGTGTTTCATAACACCTAGGTGAGTGATTCTTAGAGCTAAAGTTGGGAGGACTAACATGTCAAGCACACTCAATGCTATATTACAGGTCTGCACCACCAAGCGAGGCTACTTTAGTCTGTTAATTCTAAGAGATTGACTGGGTGTCTGCTAAAGTGCCTGCCAGCTCCAGCATTCCATGGTTTGGTGATTTTTGAAGACTATTTTTGCAGGCCTGCTAACTGGGTTCCGGAGTGAGATACCTTTGGGGACGCATTATTGGGATTGAACAGAGGTGCACTTTACCACTGAGGCACATCCCCAGTCCTTTTAATTTTTTATTTTGAGACAGGGTCTCGCAAGTTGCTTAGGGCCTTGCTAAATTGCTGAGGCTGGCTTTGAACGCGTGATCCTGCTACCGCAATCTCCCCAGCCGCGGGGAGAGCTGCATGTCCCACAGAGCCCGGCCAGGAGCAAATATTTATCACAGTTCCTTACTGTGTGGGGGCGTAACTAAGCAGATAAGAAGCGATTTGGGTTCTACTTCCGCGTCCAAACGTCAACGCCCTCGGTTCTCCTCCCTCCCTAGCAGGAGACACAAACAAGGTGTCGGAGCCCGGGGTTGCTATGGAGCCCAAATCCAAAACGGAAGTGGTCCTTGGAAATACATCTCCCAAGGAACTTGCATTTGAAAATCAATGCCTTTCTAATTAGTCTTTTCCTAAAGTAAATTCGTAAATAGAGACACAGCCAAACTCGCTCTCAGCACAAAGAACGTTGCTCTCCTCCCAAGAGACGAACGTCCACTCGTCCACGGCGGAAGTGGTATGGAACCAAATAGCGGAGGTCGCTGGTTCTCCGACGAGCTCTTTTCTCAGAGGGACCAGCCGCCCGGCGGGGTTGCCGTGGAGACCGATCGAGCTGTGTGGATGCGGCGCCTAGCGGAGGCGCGGCCTTTGCTGTCTATCTGCAGAGAGGGCTCACGGGGACGACGCCAAGATGGTTAGTGGCTCTGGATAGTAAAGGGGTCCAGGGCTGGAGGCTAGAGACTCCCGGCACACTTTGGGGTACCGTCCGGGTGTGTCAGCAGAGGCTGGTCCCTCCAGCCTCTCTGCATTCCCACGGGGGTATGGAGGGATGCAAACCTAAATGCCTTGACGCTTTCCTCCCTCCTGCTTCTCCATTTCCCCACACCTGAGCTGCACACGGGATGGACAGCAGAGCAAGGGGAGGCCGAGGTGACAGAAGCTGCGTGGAAGCGTCTTCAATGGGTAAAGAAGTTGGGAGTAGCTGTTGGGTTCAGCTCACGTACAGAGTGATGGCCCTCTCAGGAAAATGCAGTGCTTCCAAAGGAATTTGAATTGACTTCAAATTTGTTGTTAAGGATTTGACTTGTAAATCGTGGAGCTGTCACTCCGTTTAAAACGGACCATCGAAATTGGACCCTTCAGTTGTCTTTGTCGTTTCTTTTGCAGATGCTTTCAAGGGCTAAGCCTGCCGTAGGCGGGGAAGTACCGCACTCTGACAAAAGAAAGAAGAAAGGTAGGAAGATTCCAAAACTAGAGGAGCTACTTTCACAAAGAGATTTCACTGGCGCTATTACCCTATTGGAGGTAAGGTCCAAAGAAGATTGCTTCTTGATTTGGTAAATACTAGACTATAGATGAATGTTCAGATGAATGCTGGTTGCTATGTTGTTGTAACAGGTGGATGCATTATGGGGTTTCTTCAAGGAAACACGTAGTAAATCTGGTAAGTTGCAGATTCCAAGTTAACTATAAACCTGACTGAAGATGACCTTTAAAAACAACAATAACAAAAACAACTTCTTTCTTAAGGGCCACTTTGATTGTGTCTAGTTTCACAGATAGTGGATTAAACCTAAAAATATGGAGTGACACTTAATACAGTTTCATTTCTCACATTGTTTACCCTAACTCCTGGGCATTATTAGTTCTATTATGTAATAAAATTTTGGTCAAATTTGAACAATTCTACCATGTTCATTTTTTGATAATATAAAAAGCCTTTCAAATCTCTATGGCAGTAGGGCTAACCCCCACCCCCTGTGCACACACACACTACTGGAGATAGAATCCAGAAATCCAGCATAAACTCTACCACTGAGCTACATGCCCAGCCTCAATAGTTCTCACCTTTTAGTATGTTTTGGAAATACCTAGAGTAGTTACCAAGATGCTTGTCTTCCTGAACTCCTGCATTAGCAATTCTGATTCTTTAGGTCTGCAGTGGTCCTCAGGAATCTGCATTTTAGGTAAGTAGTCTAAGTGCTTCTAATGTAGATGGTCCACAGAGATTGTATTTTGGAGAAACTGTTTTTTGAGAAGCTAGAGGAGAGTGTAGGGGTACATCAGAAGATGAAGAGTTTGGACAGGGTGGTCTGGTTGGGTGGTGCTGCAATCATTTCTCCAAAACATTACTCTTGCTATATTGCTACAAATCTATCTATAATAATTGTTTTAATTAACTTTATTTTTATTTCCCAGTCTTCCCTGTCTTACTAGTGCTTAGGTAGTGAGCACAGTGGTTAGCTTTTTTAGTGGCAACTCATCTTTGCATTTGTGGGGGTCGACTTGGAAGGACCTGCTAACTCTATCAATCAGTGGATTGACTGTATAAGTCTATTTTTTGTCATTCTATTTTCTCTCTTTTCTTTAAGGCAATGACATTTTTTATTGTATAATTTAAGACCTCTAAATTGGCAGGGGTAATCTGCTCTATGCCTACATTCTCAGGTAGCTGATTAGAGTGGGGAATGGTAACTATTAGAGTTTGGAATTTTAAAAATCTCATAGCCCCAAGGAATTCCTGGGGCAAATTCAGGGGTAATTCTTCAAGAAATCCTCCAGATTTAAGGCACTGTATTAAAATTCATAGCATTTGGTGAGAAGAGTAAATTCTTATCCTAGACAAAAAGGTATCTAAGAGATGTCTTCCTCTTGGGGTGACTGATCCACTGTGGTGATACTCTATGAACATGTATTGGCTCACTATTGATTTATCATGCTGTAGAGTAAAAACAAAACAAAAACATCCTCTTTTTTTTTTAAGAGAGAGAATTTTTTTTTAATGTTTATTTTTTAGTTTTCGGCAGACACAACATCTTTGTTTGTATGTGGTGCTGAGGATCAAACCCAGGCCGCACGCATGCCAGGCCAGCGCGCTACCGCTTGAGCCACATCCCCAGCCCCCAAAAAACATCCTCTTTCAAAGTCTCAGTCTATTCCTCCAAAATGGGATTTTTCTTTTATTGGTTGAGTAATTCATAAATATTTGTTCATAGTGGACATAAATGAAGCCAGTCTTCTGTATATTGTAGCTCTTTTAGACTTGGTAAATGACCCAGGTCAAGGGTAATAGAATGAATTAACACTTTGTCCACAGTGCATTATTAATAAATATGTGTGTGCTCATGTGTGGAAGAATGAGGTTGAATGCAGTAAGCATGGAGGTTGGGAATATGGGCTTTGGAGGCAGACTACTTTTAAGTCCCTGTCACCACTTATACAGGCTGTGTGATCTTGAATTCCTTGCTTAGCCTCTCTGACCTTTAGTTCTTGACTTTAACTATTTCACCCAATTATTTTGTTTCATACATATCATCCAGAATTATTAGATAATTCACATACTTTCTGGAGTAAGGTGTCAATGAATACAGAAAAACAAGTGTGAAATATTTGAAGATACAAATTTCTGAGACTGTTGGAAGGTAACTGTGCTGAGTATTGTAAGTAAAGGCACAATGAATGCACAGTTCTGCATGTACTACTTAGCTTGCTGATAATTCAGTAGTAACTTAACATAGCAGGGTTTTTTTTGTTTTGTTTTGTTTTTGTTTTTTGGTGCTAAGGATCGAACCCAGGGCCTTGTGCGTGCAAGGCAAACACTCTACCAACTGAGCTATATCCCTAACCCTTAATATAGCAGTTTTTAAAATGGAGGATTAACTGTTCAAAGTTTTTCATGATTTTTTTTTTAATGAACTTTAAACCTGAAGTTTAAACGTCACGTTGGAGAACAAGAAGAGGATACTAATTTGTGGATTGGATACTGTGCTTTTCACCTGGGTGACTACAAGAGAGCTTTAGAGGTTAGTAAAATTAAAAAAAGTCTAACAGGAATGTGTTTAAAATATTATTAAACTTTGTATTATAATAATATCTATTCAGGTAAAATTCAAACAGTATGGAGGGAAACAAAGTAAAAAAAGAAAACCAAAATCACCCTATCTGCTGTCCCCTGTCCTACTTCTTTATTAATAGAGGTCCCCACTGGCTTTTTAAAAAATGTATTGATTTAAGCTGGGTGGGATATTATACACCTGTAATCCCAGCGGCTCAAGGAGGCTGAGGCAGGAGGATCATGAGTTCAAAGCCAGCCTCAGCAAAAGCGAGGCACTAAGAAACTCAGTGAGAATCTGTCTCTAAATAAAATACAAAATAAGGCTGGGGATGTGGCTCAGTGGCCATGATTCAATTCCTGGTACCAAACCCCCCAAAATAAATAAATAAAATGTATTGATTCAGAAATCTATATATGTATTCCAGCATGTGAGTATATATCTTGTTAAGAATTTCACTTTTATTTTGCTTGGTTATTTTCAGACAATAAACAAGATTGTATGATCTTTATGTGATTTTTTTATTATTGTAAGTATCATTTCTTTGTTAGTCATTTTTCTTGATCATTGCAAACCCTACCCCATCTGCAATGATTAATACGTAGGAATATGGGTCTAAATAAAATTATAGATGCCTTATGTCAAGCAATTTTTATTTATAAATGAAATTGCTGAAACATTTCCCACATATTCTTACTCAAAATGTAACCTAAAAGTCTGGGGCTGGGGCTGGAGCTCAGGGTAGAGCGCTCACCTAGCATGTGCAGGGCGCTGGGTTCGATCCTCAGCACCACATAAAATGAATAAATAAAATAAAAGTATATTTTAAAAGTTTTTAAAAAGAATTTGAAGACTGCATAACAGAAATTAAAATATCCAAGGCCAGGTAATGAGAAGGTAAGTTGAAGAACAAAGGAAACAAGATTCTTGAAGGAAAAAGAAATATGTAAAGGACAGAATGGAAGCTGGTTATTGTTTGTGAAAGATATAGGGAAAAAAGTAACCTAAATGTAGTACAAAAATAAACAAAGGTGTTTGAGAAAAACGAGAAAGAGTATGTGGAAAATGCGGTTAACAAAGTGAATCTCAGAAAGGATCCTTGGTAAGAAATTAAATGCCTTTTTTGTGTGTGTATGTGGTGCTGGGGATTGAACCCAGGGCCTTGTGCATGTGAGGCTAAATACCTTTTTACCACTATTTTTTTTAAATATTTATTTTTTAAGTGTAGATGGACACAACACAATGCCTTTATTTTTATGTGGTGCTGAGGATCCAACCCTGGTCCCACCCTTGCCAGGCGAGCGCTCTACCGCTGAGCCACAATTCCAGCCTCTAAATACCTTTTTAAACATAAAGACAAATTAAGAATTAGGGGTGTGGCTCGGTGATAGAGCACTTGCCTAGCACATGTGAGGCACTGAGTTTAATCCTCAGCACCACATAAAAATAAATAAATAAAGGTATTGTGTCCATCTACAACTAAAAAATATTTTTTAAAAATAAAGACAAATTAACAAAAATTACCAAAACTGGAAATAAATACAATGAATGAAAAAAAAAATTTCATTTGGTAGTACTAGGGATCAAACCCAGAACCTCATGCATGCTGAGCAAGCATTTTACCTCTGAAATAGATAAAATGAAATAGAATGAAATAAAATTAAAGTGCATTAAAGCTATCAAATTTTAAGTTAATTGAATCTAAGTATTTAAATTTTTTAAAAAATATTTTTAGTTGTAGATGGACATAATACCTTTATTTTATTTATTTATTTTTATTTGGTGCCGAGGATTGAACCCAGTTCCTCACACATGCTAGGCAAGTGCTGTACCATATATAAATTACAATCCCAGCCCAGTATTTAACTTTTATATGTCTTTTTATTAGCAAAAATAAAATATTTTTGTTGTTTTTCATGTCTGTAGTTTGTTATCATTATCAGTGTTAAATATGGAGAGGGGAAACCTAGTGTAGATTTAAGTGCACAACAGCCCTGCATCGGTAGGATTGAGCTTCAGCTTCAGTATCTCACTTTTTAAGGCATAGAATGGGAGTTGGTAAGATTCTCTAAATGGAAAGTTGTCCTATCTGAGTAAGAAATCTTATTTCCTTAAGAAGGATGGCCTATCAATTGCTTTACTGCCAAAATGAGATCACCACTTTACATGTATTTCAGGAATATGAAAATGCAACAAAAGAGGAAAATTGCAATCCTGAAGTCTGGGTGAACCTTGCCTGCACCTACTTTTTCCTTGGCATGTATAAACAAGCTGAAGCAGCTGGATTTAAAGGTAAGTTAATTCTTTTTTATATTTGATACTCTTCACTCAGAGTAAGAGTCATTTTGGAGATTTTAATACCTTTATTTTTTATTTATTTATTTTTATGTGGTGCTGAGGATCAAACCCAGAGCCTTGCACATGCTAGGCGAGCGCTCTACTGCTGATCCCCAACCCCAGCCCCAATTTTGGAGATTTTAAAGCTTCTTTTATTCTTTGATTATTGAAGCAAGAACCAACTTACATTAGAAAGCTAAAAAGTAGATTTATTTTTCAAAAAATACTGAATCTGAGCTGGGTGTAGTGGTGCACATCTGTAATTGCAGCTACTTGGGAGGCTGAGGCATAGGATCACAAGTTCAAGGTCAGTCTGAGCAATTTAACAAGATCCTGTCTTACAATTTTAAAAAAATTTGTTTTAAAACAATAGGGCTGAGGTGTAGCTCTGTGAAAGTCCCAGGTTTGATCCCCAGTAACACAGGAGGAAAAATATATTGGATTTGATCTGTGTTTAAAGGAATAGTTAGTTCCACCCTCACACTAATACCCCACCCCCATCAGCCTGCATCCAAGAAGCTACAGCTCAAAGCAGGAGGATGAGAGAAAAGAAAGGGAAGGTATCTCTTAGGTCCCATCACGGTAGGACATTCATGCTGTGATATAGGTGTTCAGGCTCTTACGGCTTAGATTTCATAGCTTCTTTCCCAATTTCTGAGTGAGAAACCCTGTAACTTTAGCTTGAGGAATCCCGATACTTTCCATTGTAGTCATGACAGTCATCTCAGGAGGATTGCATTCAAATTTGTAAACAAGAGTAAGGGGAAGCAGAATTATTGGGGAAAGGAATAAGGATAATTAGAGTATAAATCAAATTAAGTTCAAGGAAATTTAGAGAAGTGGTAGGTAAGGGAATGTTTGTTAGGAAATTTGTTAGGGATGAATACATTCCAGGGAGGAATTCATACACACACATATACAAAGACATGAAGACAGGGGCGTGTGTGTGTGTGTGTGTGTGTGTGTGTGTGTGTGTACATAGTAATCTTCATTGAAATGTGGAACTTGAAGCCTTTTTTTTTATGTATATATTGGGGATTTACCAGCTTTGGGGTACTTTACTGCTGAGCTATATCCATAGCTCTTTTTACCTTTTGTTTGTTTGTTTGTTTTTAAAAGAGAGAGAAAAAGAGAGAATTTTTTAATATTTATTTTTTAGTTTTCGGTGGACACAACATCTTTATTTTATTTTTATGTGGTGCTGAGGATCGAACCCAGCGCCGTGCTCATGCCAGGCAAGCGCACTACTGCTTGAGCCACATTCCCAGCCCTTTTTTTACCTTTTTTATGAGACAAGGTCTTCCTAAGTTGCTGAGGCTGACTTTGAACTTGCAATCATCCTGCTTCAGCCTTCCAAGGCATGTGCCACCATACCCAACTTGAAGCCTTTCTTGATTTGTACCCAAGTGTTTTATATGTATTAGTGTATTTTTTTCCTAATTTAATCATAAGGTCTTTTAAGGTGTTTGCTGTTATGTTTCTAGACTTTGTGCTTAAAAGAGTGTTAGACACATAAAAAGTGATCAAGGTAGCTATTTCTATTTCAAAAAAAACCACACACACACATATATATTTTTTAATATGCTTTAAAGTATGAATTTTTTTTTTTTTTTTTTTGTAAAAGGGATGAAGAATTAGCTGGGTGCAGTGGAGCATGCATGTAATCCCAGCAGCTTGGGAGTCTGAGGCAGGAGAATTGAGAGTTCAAAGCCAGCCTCAGTAACAGTGAGGCACTAAGCAACTCAGTGAGACCCTGTCTCTAAATAAAATACAAAATAGGAAATAAGGCTGCGGATGTGGCTCAGTGGTTGAGTGCCCCTCAGAATAGGAAAATTTCTAAGAGCACAAAGGATATTTGGAACTTGAAAGATGTTAACTTCTGTTTGGCTGCCTGTTTAAGTGTGGTACATCACTATGGTAGAGGACCCAAGAGATAAAAGTCTGGGCTATTAGGAAAATACGACATGTAATTGTGGAAAAGAAGATTTCAAAAAGGAATTGAAAAAAATTCTGGGTTGAAAAACTGAATGCGAGTGGATTCATGCGCATACAGAGATGACTACAATTGTCTGCTAACATTATTTGGTTCAATATATGAACAATACCAAAGTGGGCTGCTGTGCTCTTGGACAACACAATCGAATCAGATAGGGGAGGAGCAGACTCTTAGAACATTTCTCTTGTTCTTGATGTTGCTGTTACTACTCCAGGTAGAGATCAGACTCAATATTCATTATAGTAGACACATCTCAGGATCAGATAGATAAGGATTTAGGGAAATTCATCTGAGAATCATTTTATTTTTTAAAAGGGATTAAGTGCCATAGACTCTTGATTTTTTAACAAGCAACTTGGATCTTTTTTTTCAGCTCCTAAAAGTCGACTCCAAAATCGCCTGCTCTTCCATTTGGCCCACAAGGTATTTATGTTTTCATTTCAATTTTCTTTTTTGGTATCAGGGATTAAACTCAGGGGCACTCAACCACTGAGCTACATCCCCAGCCCTATTTTGTATTTTATTTAGAGAGAGGATCTCACTGAGTTAGTTAGTGCCTTGTTTTTGCTGAGACTAGCTTTGAACTCACAATCCTCTTGCCTCAGCCTTCTGAGATGATGGTATTATAGACATGTACTGAACACCCAGTGATTCTAACACTTGGCTCAAAAATGTTTTTGTTTTAACAATATTTTTCTCTTATTTTCTTCTATTAACAATAGAGAAAGGCGGCTGGGTGTGGTGGTGCAAGCCTGTAATTCCAGCAGCTCGGGAGGCTGAGACAGGAGGGTCATGAGTTCAAAGCCAGCCTCAGCAAAAGCCAGGCACTAAGCAACTCAGTGAGACCCTGTCTCTAAATAAAATACAAAAATGGGCTTGGGGGGCTGGGGATGTGGCTCAAGCGGTAGCGCGCTCGCCCGGCATGCATGCGGCCTGGGTTCGATCCTCAGCACCACATACAAACAAAGATGCTGTGTCCGCCAAGAACTGAAAAATAAATATTAAAAAATTCTCTCTCTCTCTCTCTCTCTCTCTCTCTCTCTTTAAAAATGGGCTTGGGATGTGACTCAATGATCCAGTGCCCCTGAGTTCGATCCCTGGTACCAAAAACAACAACAACAACAACCTAACAATAGAGAAAGGCAATTAACTATAAATTCCTATTGATAGCATTTCTAGAATAAGTGGAATATAGATGTTAATTTTATTGGATTTTCCCATCATTAATGATCTTTACCCTCTTAATTTATTCAGAGGTGTTAAGTTTTAGTTATTCTTAGAGAACAGTCATTTAACAATGTTAGTGTGCTTCGACTATCCTATCATCTCTTAAGAAACAGACTCAGAGGTACCTTGCTCTGACTCATGGAAATAAATATACATTTTTCATAATTGCCTTAGGGCAGTAATTTTGACCATTATAATGTTATATTTTAAGTTATAATTTTTAAAAAATATTTATTTTTCAGTTGTAACTGGACACAATACCTTTATTTATTTATTTTTATGTGGTGCTGAGAATCAAACCAGGGCCTCACATGTGCTAGGCAAGCGTTCTACTGTGAGCCACAACCCCAGCCCCAAGTTATAATTTTTTGAAATATAAAATTTATACCCATTTATTCTATCAAACAAAATATAAGTAAGGAAAAGAGCAAGTGAAATAATATCTACCATATTAAAAAGTAACTACCTTTCTGGGCTTCGGTTGTGGCTCAGCAGTAGAGTGCTGCCTAGCACATGGGAGGCCCTGGGTGCGATCCTCAGCACCGCATATAAATAAAATAAAGGTATTGTGTCAACTACAACTAAAAAATATTTAAAAAATAACTACCTTTTAATCTTTTAGAATATCTCTTTTAGGATAGATATTTTTTATTAGAACTTTATAGTTATAGTAGTAGGGTTTATCCCGACAAATTCATAGATGCTTGGAAATCGATTTCAGTTCATGATCCCACCTTTCCCTCCTGTCTTCCCTCCCCTCTCCCATTCTCCTTCCTCTACTAGACATTATTTCACTCATCTATTAATTTGTATTTGATTGGTTCTTTATGTTATTTTATCCTTCCCTCCCCTTTTCCCTTATTTTACTCTTGCTTCCACATATGAGAGAAAGATTTGACCTTTGAGTTTCTGCCAATTTTTACTTGATATAGTTTTCAAAATTGGTTATTAAGTACACACAGATTTAGAATTTTTGTGTCCTCCTTATAGATTGAAACATTCATTATCATGAATGTCTTTCCTTATCTCTAAAACTTCCTCTTTGTCTATTTGTGTAGCTACACGATGGTTTGGTCAGTGTTTGTCTATTGTATTTCTTTATCCTATTGTATTTACTTTCTCCCTTCCTGTGACCTTATAGTTCAAGTGTCTTCCTTATAAACAGTATATAAATGAGTTTGGGGATTTTTCAATCCAGTTGAAATCTTTATTTTTTAAAAATTCCAATATTTGATTCATTTCCTAAATTTAATGTCTTTTACTGATATGGTCAGCTCAATAACTACCTTGTAATATTCATTTTCTATTTGTCCTTATGAATCCATGTCTCTCCTTTTTTCTTTCTTGTATTCTTTTTGTATTGATTTTTTTTAATTCCCTATTTCTCCTCCAATGGCTTGAAAAAATTTTATCTAATCAAACAGAGGTGGTTTTGGGGTGGGAAGAGAACACAAATATACAAATTTTTATACCTCTTGGATATATAGATATGTAAATAATATACACATGTATATATACACATATATTCATTCACATACACACATATACATATATATATATATATATATATATATACACACACACACACACACACACACACACACACACACACATATATATATTTGGGGGGGGGTACTGGGAATTTAACCTAGAGTATCTTAACCACTGAGCCACATCCCCAGTCATTTTTATTTTTTAATTTGAGACAGGTTCTTGCCAAGTTGTTTAGGGCCTCAGTAAATTGCTGAGACTAGTCTCGAACTTGAAATCCTCCTGCTTCAGCCTCCCAAATGGCTGGGATTACAGGAGTGTGTCAACATGTCTGGTTGTGTTTAAGCTTTGTGCATTATTTTTGGGTCTTGGTGCATTTCCTATGGTGTTTCCAGATGTGCCTTCCTTTTTTTTTTTTTCCTACTAGGGATTGAATCAGGACATGAGCATGCTAGGCAGGCACGATACCACTGAGCAACATCCCTAGCCCTTCTCCCTTTTTTTTTTTAATTTGGAAAGTTGTTTGGTTATTAATTCTTCAAATATTCTTCAGCCTCATATTTTCCTCTTCTTTCCTTCTAGAACACCAGTAATATGTACATATGTAGATATTTTCATTGTGTTGTATATAAACCCTTTTTCACATTTTCCTGTAGAGATTTTTTTTCATTTTATTAATCTTTCTTCAGTCATATCTAATCATCTATTAAATTCATCTACTTTATTCTTAATTTCATTGTGTTCTTCTTTTGTAAAATTTTCATTTTATTTTTAACATTTCCAACTCTCTCTCTCTCTTTTTTTTTTTTGGCAGTGTGAAAGATTCAACCCAGAGCCTTGTTCTTGTGAGGCAAACACTGTACCAACAGAACTATATTCTCAGCCCCCTCCAACTTTTTTTTTTTAGTCATAGATGGATACAATACCTTTGTTTTATTTATTTACATGTGGTGTTGAGTATTGAACCCGGTACCTCACACATGCTAGGCAAGTGCTCATCCACTGAGCTACAACCCCAGCCCAAAAGTCCCCAATTTTTAATTTATGTTTTAAAACATACCAATAACAAATATTTAAAATCCATGTATAATACATCTGATGATTATATCTCCTGACAACTGATTTTGGGGTTTTGGTCAAATGTAGATAAGCCTCCTATTTCTCCTCCAATGGCCTGAAAAAATTTTATCTAATCAATCAGAGGTGGGTTTGGGGTGGGAAGAGAACACAAATATACAATTTTTATACCTCTTGGAGATATATATATATAAATAAGAGGGAGAGAGAGAGTGTTACAGAAAATGGAATTAAGTGTCCTGGTAGGAGATAAGTGTCCCGGTAAACTCGGTAATTTAATGTGTTAAATTTATACCAAGAGGTATAAAATTTTGTATATTTGTGTTCTCTTCCCATCCTAACCCCACCTCTGATTGATTAGATAAAGTCTCATCTATTTTACTGGTTAAATTTTTTCAAACCATTGGAGGAGAAATATGAATTTTTTTAGTTATAGGTAGACACAATGTCTTTATTTTACTTTATATGGTGCTGAGAATTGAACCCAGTGTCTCCCACGCTAGGTGCGTGCTCTACATCTGAGCCACAACCCCAGCCCAGAAATACGGAATTAAAAAAAAAAAAAAAAAATCAATCCCTAAAGAATACAAGAAAGAAAAAAAGCAGGGGGCGGGGGGCAACATGGATTCATAGGGACAAATAGAAAATGAATAGTACAAGGTAGTTGTTGAGCTGACCATATCAGTAAATACATTAAATTACATTGAGTGCTGGCTATTATATATAAAAATAGAGAAGGCCAGGCAGAGTGGTACACCTCTATAATCCCAGCTTTTCAGGAGGCTGAGGCAGAAGGGTCACAGGTTCAAAGATAGGCTTGGTAATTTAACAAGCCCCTATCTCAAAAAATCAAAAAGACTGAGAATATAGCTCAGTGGTAAAGCACCTTTGGGTTCTGTCCCTATACTGAGGAAAAGAAAATAAAAAAAAAGAATGGGAGGAGGAGGAGGGGGAGGGGGAGGGGCAGGAGGAGAAAAAAAAAACAAATACAGAGACTTTGGATAATTGAGAATTGACAGATGCCCTTAGAGAATAGTGGTGGCAAATATCAGCCTTATCTCTATCTCTCTGCCTTAAATAGTCTGTCTCTCTCCCCCTCTCTCTCTCCCTCTCTCTCCTCTCTCTCTCTCTCTCTCAGGGGATTGAATCCAGGAACACTTAACCAGTAGGCCACATCCCCCTTCTTATTTTTTATTTTGAGAAAGGGTCTTGCTGAGTTGCTTAGGGCCTTACTAAGTTGCTGAGGCTGACCTCAAACTTGTGATCCTCCTGCCTTAGTTTCCTGAGCTGCTGGGCTTACAGTGGATCTTGGTGTCTGAGTCTTCAGTATCTTGGTAGCTTTCTAATGCCTTCACACAGATATTTTTAAAAATTTATTTATTTATTCTAATTTGTTATACATGAAAACAGAATGCATTTCAACTCATATTACACATATAGAGCACAATTTTTCATGTCTCTGGTTGTACACAAAGTAGAGTCACACCATTCGTGTCTTCATACACGTACTTGGGGGTAATGATGTCTATCTCATTCCACTATCTTTATTACTCCCATGTCCCCTCCTTTCTCTTTGCCCTATCTAAAGTTCTTCCATTCCTCCTATGCTCCCCTCTTCCATCCCCCTTATGGATCAGCATCCACATATCAGAGAAAATATTCATCATTTGAGTTTTGGGGATTGGCTCACTTCACTTAGCATAATATTTTCCAACTCCATCCATTTACCTGCAAATGCCATGATTTTATTCGTTTTTAATGCTGAGTAGTATTCCATTGTGTATATATACCACATTTTCCCTATCCATTTATTTACTGAAGGGCATTTAGATTGGTTCCACAATTTAGCTATTATAAATTGTGCTGCAATAAACATTGATGTGGCTGTGTACATCAGTGACAAATTCTCTGAAAGAGAAACTAGGAAAACTGCCCCATTTACAATGGCCTCAAAAAAATTCACACAGATATTTAGTAGTTTTCAAGCTTTTCTAGTTTTCTTGGTGAGAGGAATGTGCTATAAAGCTACTCCATCATTAATAAAAGTTGAAATCTTTAATTCAGTTTTGAGAAATATAGTTTATTGTTTTTCTTCTGATGACAAAAATAATGAATGTTCATTATTGTGCTTTTAGAAAATCATTAAAAAATCATACACACACAACCCCCCCCACCCACACACACACACAAATCAAGATTTCCTATAAGTCTGCCACTTAGAGATAACACTATGGTATTTTGTTCCCTTTTCTTCTAGTTTTAAAAAATCATATATTTTAAAAATGTATGAATATTATCAAATTTGGTTATATATATATATACACACACACACACACACACACACACACAAACACACACACATACTGTTTTATAACCAGGTTTTTCCACTTAAAAATGTCTCAAACATTTTTCCACGTCACAAGATATTCTATAGAAGAGATTGTAAATGGTATCTTATGGGCTGAGAATGCACCACAGATGTGTTTCTAAAACAGCACTCCAATTTTTTTACATTTAAAAATAGGGTATGTCACACAAACACTTTATTTCTGGCTTCTTTTGAAAAATTAAAAAATTTAAAACTCTGAATTCCTATTTCTACATGCAGCAAATTGTAGATTTGAAGATTGAAGCTGAGTAGATGGAGTAGGTTGTCTCCATTCCCCCTCTAATCTTGTCCTATAACAACATTTTAATTTGGAACCTCACTACTCTGTTCTGTACTTGAATGTCTTCACAACATTCTGTCTAACAGATGTGTCATAATTCATTTTCCTATTGTTCCTCAATTGGATCGTTTTATAATTTTTATGCCTCGAGAAATAGTATCATTTGAAACTTTTTAAAAAATTAGTTGTTGATGAACCTTTATTTTATTTATTTGTATGTGGTACTGAGAATCTAACCCAGTGCCTCATGCATCCTAGGCAAGTGCACTACCCCAGCCCCATGAAACTTTTTTTTGATATGTATTATAAATTAATCAGAGTGCAGGCAGATAAGAAAAATTAGACTCAATAAAGACCTTTCCAAGACAGACTTTAGAATACAGTCTATAGAATATAGTATAGGCATTCATTAGTTGACAACTAATGTTTATTTTACAAATTAAACAGTAATTTACAAAATTACTATAATAGGGGCTGGGGATGTAGCTCAGTGAGAGAGCTCGAGCTAGCATGGATGAGGCCTTGGATTTAATATCTACCACCATAAAGAAAATATTATCTGTAATATGTCACTGACCAAACTAGAGATGAGCTTCAGAATTTATTGTTTTGTGGAAACAGATTCTTTTTAAAATTTTTAAGCAAATAAGCCAATTTTACACCAGGCAGGAGTGAGCAATCTACATATAAAGGGTCACTATCAAAATCTATCTGTTCTGAGGCTGAGGTTGTGGCTGACCGGTAGAGCCCTTATGATCCTCAGTACCACATAAAAACGAACAAATAAAATAAAGGTATTGTATCCAACCACACCTAAAAAATAAATATATTTTTTAAAAAAATATATCTGTTCTATCCCAAGTATAAGCAAAGGCAGCTATTATTTGCAACTACCACTTAGTAAAATAAGCATACAAGGTTGGAATGGAATTCTGACACCGAAAACAAAATACAGAGTAACTAAAGAGAGGATGGAAAAAAATCTAGAACAGAAAATTAAAAATTGTGATCACTAAGTTGCTCAATGAGAAATATATTTTGATTACATATTGTGCACCAAGAAGAAAGAGATACAAAATACCAGATAAATTGTTAAAGGAAGAGGGCAAAGAGATTCGGGGTGGGGGGGTTGGAGAGAAAGAAAATATAAAGAAAGACAAAAGGAAGGTAAGTGGGTGAGGGTGGAGGGTTAGATAATTAATATTAACTGTAAGTTGAAGACTTTCCAGCTAGGCAAGGTGATGCACACATGTAATCCCAGTGACTTGGGAAGCTGAGGCAGGAGGATTGCAAGTTTGAGGCCAGCCTCAGCAATTTAGTAAGACCCTGCCTCAAATAAAAAATAAAAGGGCTGGGGATATATAGCTCAGTGGGATTCAATCCCCAGTACAGAAAGTAAAAATAAAAAGGCTTTTCTTTGCTAAGGCTCTGTCTTGAGGCTATTTACATTCTTTCTCTGGAGAGACTGAAAGCCACAGAGCCTAAGGGAAATAGAAAATGGAAACACGGTATCCAGAAGAGGTATTGATTTCTCTAACTGTAAGCTAATATGAATCTTTACATGTCTCTTCCTTTCTCATAATTTTAGTTTAATGATGAGAAAAAATTGATGAATTTTCATCAAAATCTTCAGGATATCACAGAAGACCAACTCAGTTTGGCCTCAATCCACTACATGCGTTCTCATTACCAAGAAGCTATTGATATATATAAGCGGATACTGCTAGATAACAGGTCTGTGTGCTTTCGTGCTTACCTGAAATGTCTTTCATTTTGTTAGTTTCTTTTATGTTTAGTTTGGCTGAGGACTTAGTGTCCTTTGGATCTAGTAGCACCATGGGTTCAAATCTGTTTAGTTGATAATTTGGCATGATTATGAGCTCCTTAGGGGTTGTTTAGATCAGGATTTCTCTACCTTTTTCATTATCATCCTTCTAAGGAGACTTTGTAGACATTGCTTTGTCCCGATTGCCACCCCCTTGAAATTTTAATATGCTTATATATATGTATGTCTTATATATGTAATAATGTGTTTCTATGTGTTAACGTATTTATGTATATCTATGTTTTACCCACAAAATGAGTATGATTTTTTTTCACTCTCCTATAAAGACCAACTTTGTCCCTCTGGTGGGGATATTGCCCCTTTTGGAAATGCATGCTTTAGATGTGTCAATCTCAGTGATGTGATTACATTGTAGGTAACTTGCTGATAAAATTAGAAACAAACCATTTTAAAGAATTAACATTCCAACTTTATCACTTACCCTTGGCCTCTTTCCAGTCTCTAAAATGTCTCATCCACCTTTCTCCTCCCCTCTTTTGCATTGCGTTTGAAGTCTCCTGCCTGTTCCCCTTTCCAGTCATCAAGCCCACCTGCCTTCTCTGTTCTCTATATGGAGTGCCTATTTGTTCCTGTTCAGTTATAGCTTGTGTTAATTTTTCAATATGAACATTCTGAATTTTTCCCTTTCTCCCTCCCTCCCTCTCTCCCTCCCTCTCTCTTTGATACTAGGGATTGAACTCAGGGGTATTTTACCACTGAGCCACCTCCCCAGCCCTATTTTGTATTTTATTTAAAGACAGGATTTCACTGAGTTGCTAAGCACCTTGCTTTTGCTGAGGCTGGCTTTGAACTTGTGATCCTCCTGCCTCAGCCTCTCAAGCCACTGGGATTATGGGCATGCGCCACCGTGCCCAGCTCCCTTGCTCTCTAGTTTCCATTTTTTACTCTATTTATATTGAAACACCCAAATATTATACAATGCAAAAGGAGAAAAAAGTGTGCTGATTGTATCTTGCCTTTCTTACAGGCAAACTCTTCACCTATCCTCTTTGCTGTGTTGTCCATTTGATGTTTGTAGTTTGACATTTCTGTGAACTGTTAACTGTTAATTCTTTTCTTTAATAGGGAATACCTTGCCCTCAATGTTTATGTGGCCCTTTGCTACTACAAGTTGGATTACTATGATGTGTCTCAAGAAGTTCTGGCTGTTTACCTCCAGCAAATTCCTGATAGTACCATCGCGCTCAATCTTAAGGCCTGTAATCATTTTCGCCTTTACAATGGCAAAGCAGCTGAGGTAGTGATGGAAATGTTTCTAATTGACTTACCTCTGATTTGAGTTACTTTATATTTTCTAAGTTATTCATTAATCTCTGTTATCTCTAATATCCCTTGGTCATTGCCAGGATGATTCTATAAGAACCTAATTGTATAAATATTTTTGTATATCACATAGCGTTCTAAAAATTTTGGCTTCTGAATTCTGTTATGTCTAATATATTGTAGATAATTTTGTAGATGCCTATGTTAACCTAAATATGTTTAAAACCAAATGAGTTAGCTTCTTCCTCTAAAATATGTTTGTAGCTGTGTGGTTGAATATCACCAATATATATCCAGTAAACCACCTCAGGGATATATGTCACCCTCTTCTTCATCTCCATATAATCACCCACCAGTTCCTATCAGTTATTTATTCTAGATATTTCTTTTTATCAATCCCCCAATTCTCTTCTGTTATTGCTCTAGTACAAGAGTTCCTCACCTCTTATTTTGGCCCCCTTTTTGTGGGGGTGGGGCCAGGGATTGAACTCAGGGACACTCAACCACTGAGCCATATCCCTAGCCCTATTTTGTATTTTATTTAGAAACAGAGTCTCACTGAAGTGCTTAGAGCCTAGCTTTTTTTTTTTAGTTGTGTGGACACAATACCATTATTTACTTATCTTTATGTGGTGCTGAGGATCGAACCCAGGGCTTCACACATGCTAGGCGAGTGCTCTACCACCAAGCCACAACCCCAGCCCTAACGCTCACTTTTGCTGAGGCTGGCTTTGAACTCGAGAGCCTCCTGCCTCAGCCTCCTGAGCTGCTGGGATTACAGGTGTGTGCCATGGCATCCGGCTTTATTTTTGCCCTTTGAGTAGTTTTCCTGACTCTAGTCCTTGAACTTGAGCATGCCCTACTCTCTTCTTGCCATAGCTTCACATACACTATTCCCACTGCTGCAATGACCCCCTTCCTTCTCGGCTTAGTACACTTCAGCTTCTCCTTAAGGCTACTCCAAGAGATAAACATGCAGACATTTTATAAATACTTAGAAATTGGTTAACTTATAGGCACTGTGTAGAACACTTCATATCCTTTATTTAATTTTCCTGACAAGTCTATGGATAAAGGCTGTTATAACCTCCTTTTATAGGAAACTGAGAGAAAACAGAAGGCCATATGTTATCATCACCTTTTATTTAACATATCTTAAATAAAACATAATTTTAATAACATCTTAACTAAATAAAGTAATTTAACATTATAGATACATACACACACACTATGTATATATATACACACACACATACACACACATACACACATACATATGTGTGCACAAATTCTACATTTAGGTAGATAGATAATAGGATGTTCTAGATCTACATATAAATGTATAAATAGATACTTAAGCCAGCAAATAAACTGTATCAAAGCAAATTTTGAGGAAAAAATGTCTAACAAGGAGTACTATACACACTTCACACTGACGGAGATTCAACCCTGAGTAAAACAATGTTTAGTAGTGGGGGAGAAAGTATATGGGATGGAGAGTACAAAAATAAAAAAACACATTTTTTGGGCAGCAATAGGATATAGATTTTATTTAATTTTGATAATCTTATTAAACCAGGTTTTTTGTTTTTTTTTTTGGAACTGGGGATCGAACCAAGGGGTGCTTAACTACTGAGCCACATCCCAATCTCTTTTTATTTTTTATTTTGAGACAGGGTCTCACTAAATTGCTTAGGCCTCACTAAGTTGCTGAGGCTGCCCTTGAACTTTCAATCCTTCTGCCACCAGCCTCATGAATTGTTGGTATTGCAGGCTTGTGCCACCATACCTAGCAAATGAGGCATTCTGATTAAATCAGGCATTCTTCTAGTAACTAGTAAAATGAGTTCTGTATTATATGGTTCAGTCAGTCTATCAAAAAAACTAGTAGTTTTCTGTTCTTAAAATAATCTGTTCTGTCTTGAAATAATCTGTAATGATTGATTTAATTCTTAAAGTACTTTGAATAACTTGCCCAAGATTATACAGCTAACACAATAAGTGGCAAATTCAGGTCTCAAACACATGTCTGTCTAACTGTGAAGTCAATAGACTTAATCACTAAAATTTACACCAAATTTAAGGTTCTTTCTTCTTTGCTCTTGGTAAACATGCCTCTATAATCATGCTTATCAATTGATAGTTACTACTATCTTCAATCTAGATAAGCTTACTGGAAGCAAGGACTGAGTTTTTTCACATTTTTGTCTCAGGACCAGGCACAGTGTATGCACACAGTTAATGCCAACTGTATGTTGGTTGAATGAGAAACTAAAAGTATGACTGACAAGAAGAATTACATTTTAAGGAGGAGGAGATGCAAAAGAGAGCATTAAGATGAAGATTGCAAAAAGGCCATTTGATTTTATTGCAGGTTGAGTATCCTTTATTCAAAGTGTTTGGAACCAGAAGTTTTTAAGATTTCATAGTTTTTTTTGAATTTTGGAATATTTGCATAGACTTTACCAGTTCAGCAGCCTTAATCTGAAACATATGTCAGTACTCAAAAAGTTTCATATTTCAGAGCATTTCTTTCTTTCTTTTTAATATATATATATAAATATAATTTTGATTAGGGATGCTCAACCTGTACCAGGATTTCCACATTTCCCTTCTGATTAGGAAATCATTATTATTGGGGCTTGAAGCCAGTTTGCAAGGAGATAGGGGGTGAGTAATAGCCTAATTTGGGAATTCTTGTAAAGGATGTGACAGAAGAGAAGACAAGCAGATGATGAAGAAATAGAAGCTTTGAATCTAGGACATTGATTTAAAAAAAAAAAAAAAAAAAAAAGGAGAAAACCACTGGTTTCAGAGGATAAAGAATTGAGGAACTTTTTCTTCCAAACTGGGAACATGTCTTGTAAGAATCAAGTTTTTGAGATTGGGATCAGACCCAAATTTCAATCCTGGATTAGTAGCTGTATTGCATTAGATAAAAAACTTCTTTAAGCAGTATCTGTAAAGTAAGGAAAATTATAATACTGACTCATTGAAGATTGTTGTGGTGATTAAATGATGTTTATAAAGTTCATAACTTGATATACAAAGTAAACTTGCAGTAAATATTAGCTATTAGCAAGCTAAAATAGTCAGTTTTATTGTTTATTTACATTTAGTGCTTCTGTTTCTTGTTTAAGATATAATTACTTATCCCAATATCATATTCTTTGATATTATCTTCTAAAACCCATTTTTGCTTTTTAAATCAAAAATATCTTGTGTGTGTGTGTGTGTGTGTTGTGTGTATACTGGGGATTGAACTCAGGGGCACTCAACCACTGAGCCATATCCCCAGCCCTATTTTGTATGTTATTTAGAGATAGGGTCCCACTGAGTTACTTAGGACCTCACCATTGCTGAGGCTGGCTTTGAACTCAACTATCCTCCTGCCTCAGCCTCCCAAACTGCTGGGATTACAGGCATGAGCCACTGCACCTGGCTAATATCTTGTATCTTAAGTAACCATTCTTTTTTCTTTCTTTCTTTTTAAGAAATCATTCTTGGGGCTGGGGTTGTGGCTCAGTGATAGAGCACTTGCCTAGCATGTGTGAAGCACCAGGTTCGATCCTCAGCCCCATATAAAAAATAAATAAATAAAATAAAGTTTAAAAAATCATTCTTAAAAGGATTTTTTCCCCAATTAAAAGACAAAAGTTGGTAAATTAGAAAAGACAAAACACCAATATATGCTTTAAATAGAAAAACAGAAAATTTGGACATAAAAGGACATGTTTCATTCAGACTATTTCTCACATGGTTTCCAGCATTTGTGTCATGTTTTTATAAAGGTCATTTTTACTTTAACATAGATATAATAACCTACATCTTCTACTTATGTTCTACAACCCCTACTTCTACAACCCCTCTTTTCCTATCCCTAAACAACTGCTAGTCTACTTTCTATATCCATGTCTTTCCCTATTCTAGATATTCCATACAAAGGAGCTATATGATACGCAGTGTTTATGACTAGTTTCTTTTGCTTAGCATAATGTTTATAAGGTTTATCATTTTGTAACATATATCAGGATGTCATTTTTTTTAACAAAATTTTTTTTTAAAGAGAGAGAGAGAGAGAGAATTTTTTAATATTCATTTTTTAGTTCTCGGCGGACACAACATCTTTGTTTGTATGTGGTGCTGAGGATCGAACCCAGGCCGCACTCATGCCAGGCGAGCGCGCTACCGCTTGAGCCACATCCCCAGCCCAAGGATGTCATTTTTATGACCAAATCATTTTCAGTTGTTTGCATATACTATATTTTGTTTTTCCATCATCGGTTGATGGACATTTGGGTTGTTAGCACCTTTTTTTTTTTTTTTTAATTTTTTTTTTTTTTTTTTTTAGTTATCGTTAGACACAACATCTTTGTTGGTATGTGGTGCTGAGGATCTAACCCGGGCCGCACGCATGCCAGATGAGCGCGCTACCGCTTGAGCCACATCCCCAGCCCAAGCACCTTTTGCCTATTAAGACTAATGCTGCTATAAACTTTTTGTCCAAGTTTTTGTTTGGGCATCAGTTTTCATCCCCCTTGAGTGTAATATACTTACAGTCAAATTTTGGGTCATTTGGTAACTCCATATTTAATTGTTTGAGGAATTTGCCTGACTATTTTTCCAAAGTAACTGCACTGTTTTATATTCTCACCAGTAGTGTAGAAGGGTTTTGATTTTTCAACATCCCTGCAAATAGTTACCTGACTTTTTGACTCTAGCCATTCTATTGGGTATGAAGTTGCATTTTACTGTTGATTAATAATGTTGAGCATCATTTCAAATACTTATTGGCCATTTGTATGTCTTCTTTGTAGAAATATCTATTCAAGTTATTTGGTCATTTTAAAAATTCAGTTGTCTTTTTTTTTAAATATATTTTTTAGTTGTAGATGGACATAATATCTTTATTTATTTATTTATTATATGGTACTGAGGATCAAACCCAGTGTCTCACACGTGCTAAGCAAGTGC